CCGCCCCGCCCAGCACGCGGCCCGGCCAGCTGCTCGCGGATGCTTGTGACGCTTGTCGCCAGCCCCGCCCGCCCCGCCGACCCATGTGCCCCGCGCGCCGCGCCTGGCTGCGGCGCCGTCCAGCACCGGGCTCTCGTGCAGTTTTGGTACAGTGAACCCGCGCCCGGCCGGCACAGCTGCAGGAGACCCCACCCCCTCCCCCCGAGCCCGTCCAGGGGTGGTCACACAGGGTTTAGGCCGGCCGAGGGGACCGCCCACCAATTCGGTGATACGTCTCTCCCTTTAACAATAGCCCATCCTTTTAATCGGTGGCCATCTCGTTGCACCACGATATTGCGAGAGTTGTCTCATTCCTACAGTCAGTATGAGCAACAGGACAGAAATAACTTGCTTTGCCGGTGTGCTGGCCGCCCTCGGCGCGTTCTGTACGCAGAGCAGAACCACTACGGCGCCAGAGCGCCACTCCCGCCCCAAAATAGTCCCTACTCGGTGTGCCAGCGATGGAATTCGTCTCAATCGACCCAAGGTCAGTACCGTATGACCTCCTATCTCTGCCCATGCAGCGACCTACATAAAACAGTAACGTCGACAAACTGCCCCCCCTGGCAAACAAACGCACCCTGCCGCAAAGAGCACACGCACAATACTGCTGCTGGACGTGGTGGGGTGATAGGGGGCCTCCCTGCCGAGCCCCTCGGCCAATACCGGTCCGGCGGGCGTCAGAGAGTCGACGGCAGTCTGACGCCTTCACAAACGGCGGTCAAGGTCTTCTCACTTGTTGTGTGTCGTGTCGAGGCGTGACAGCGACAGTCATTTGTGAAGTTTGACGGGAGCCGGGGAGCTGGGTGTTGACGTTGACACAAGAGCATCTCCATCGACTAGTGTGGCGTGCAGGTTGTCCTTAGGAGGTGCTGTCTAGCGGGCGCCGCTGGACCCGCAGCCACACCTGCTTGGGCCGCACGTCGCCCCGGGCGTCGACCCCACTGACGCCGAACTCCAGGTCAGCCAGCAGCGCCGCGAGGCACAGGCCCATCTCCTGCAGGGCGAACAGCGCCGCGGTGCTGCTGGCGGGCGGCGGCAGCCCGCTGGCCGCCCACTCGGCCACGCCGTCGGGGCCGGGGAGCTCGCCGAATGGGAGGTAGGCCCCTGTGGGGCGCGCCCGCCGCGCCGCCGCCGAGAAGCGCTCCGGGTCAAAGCGCAGCGGGTCGGGGTAGAGGTCCGCGTCCCGGTGGACGGCGTCGACGGCCACGTATAGGTGCGTGCCAGGCTCCAGGAGCAGGCCACGCCGGGGGCCCACCACGGGCAGGGCGTAGCCGCCGGCGCCCACCTCCGTGGAGAGGGCGCTGCACGGCGGCTCCAGGCGAAGCGCCTCCAGGAGAACCTTCTCCAGGAGCGGCGCGCGCCGGAGCACCTAGTTCCAGCGGAACAAGTTTGGGTGAGAAACTATCGTCGTTATAATCAGGTGATGGAGTCCTACATGAGAGAAGGGCGCCCTTCTCTCATGAGCCCTACCTGCAGGCCCAGCGGCTGGTCCGGGTCGCGCGCAGACCGCACCTCCTGTGCCACGCGCTGCTGCAGGTCAGGGAGGCCCGCAAGCTCGCGCAGGCAGCGAGCCACGACCCGCGGCGCGTGCGCGGGCAGCACGAAGGCCTGAGCCGCCACCACGTCGTACGCCAGCGCGCAGTGTCGCCGCCGGTCCTTTGCGGTCAGGAAGTCGTGCTGCTCCGAGAGGCCCCGCTGGGCCCGGCTGGGCGCCGCGGCGGACAGCATCAGGTCGACAAAGTCCGTCCGCCTGGTCCGCGTGCGCGCCCGGAAGGCGGCCGACTCCCGGAGCATGTCGACGTAGAAGCTGGTGGCGGCCGGGTAGAGCACGCGTGCCGGCACGAGGGCGGCCGCCGAGGGCAGCGCGGTGACGAGGGCCAGCGCCAGCAGGCTGAGCCGGGGCGGGCGCCTCGCAGCGCCGGCCACGCGGTGCAGCTCCCAGTCGGGGTCCTGGACGCAGTTGCCGGCCACGCCGAACGCGCAGGCGCCGACCACGACCGTGGAGAAGCGGTCGAGCGGTCCAAGCACCTCAACGTCCACGGGCCCTGCTCCACACGACAGCGACGCTTACGCTCAGCTCAACAACAGGACGAGAGTTGGCTAGTGTCCTGCTTACCCGCTGACGCGCTCTCTCCCAGGGACTGCACCAGCTGCTCGGCGCACTCCACCATGAGGCGGGCCGTGGCGCCCACTCGGCCCGCGCGCAGCAGCGGCGACAGCCTCTCCCTCAGCGCGGGCGGCACGCCGGGCCCCAGGCCCTTGGGCAGCGTCCCCGCGAAGGAGGCCGCATCCGCGCCCAGGACGCGGGTCACGAGCTCGGGGTCGAGGAGCAGCACGCACGGTCGCGCCCGCCACTCGAACAGGCCCGCCGCGCCGGCGCGCGCCCCGCCCTCGGCCCTGTGCCGCCGGTACAGCGCGCCCAAGTCGTCCTGGAAGCTGGACCCGCCCAGCAGGAACGACGCAAAGCTCCCGAGCACGGGCAGGGCGCGGGCCTCGCCCGAGAGCCACAGCAGGTCCTCCTCGACGGCCACATCCTGGTCGCGACCCTGGTCCTCCCAGCGGTGCTGCCAGTAGGCCAGCGGGGCGAGCGCGGCGAGCACTAGCGCGAGCACCGGAGCCGCGGCGCAGCACGCCCAGGACACGAGCGCCCAGGCCGGCTCCAGCCAGGGCTCCAGCCAGGGCGCGGGCTCCAGCATGCTGACTGGAGCACTCCGTGCCGCGGCCGCGCCTCCCGCCGAGAGAGACGGCGCTCCGGTGCACCGCGTGGGCGACCCTTCTCCCTCTCCTCCTCGGCCGCCGGGTCGGACCCATTCGGGCCCCACCTCGCCGACCACGCGTGTGGGAAGTGTAGCTTAAGTGGCTTTCTGCCCGGCAACGCCAACCACTTTTCCGAACGCACTCGATCGACTCTGCGAAGTCGGCAAGGACGCAAGTCCTGCGTAAGACCCTTATCTAGCCGCACTTGAAAGTAAGGAGATGGATACCCGCGATTCCAAGAATTTCACTCTCTTTCAGAGTTTGCTGCACTTGTGGTAAGGCTTATGATTTTCCCCAAAGTACAGTAGTTAATTCGTGGATTTCCTGATGATAAGGACATCACCGTCGAATACGATCCACTTTGAATCTACGTTTAATCTCGTAGCTCTCGGACCAAAGTTCTTAATCTCAAGTTCAAGTTCTTTGTTATTTTTCTCACGCGCAGATTTCTTTTGCTACGCTCATGAAACTTAGTCGCCTCGCGATGCAACCCCAGCCTTCACGCTGAGTGGTTCTAGGGCGGAAAGGGTGTGGCATTGAGAAGGTCGGGGAAGGGGTGGGGTTCCACAGGGGTCAGCGCACCACACGACACCACCCACTAAAGGTCAGTGCCAGTGGCCCAGAGGGGAACACGCAGCAGGCTTTCATCGGGTGCCAGTCAAGAGAAGGGCGCCACGAAGGGCAAGGAGGCAGCGCATTACTCCCACTCCCCCTGGAACGAAATGAGACGCGTTTCCCTGCAAAACGATACTTTGCTCGTGTATGCAAGGCCGAGCCAATCAGACTTTTTTCGGGCCAATGGTGGCTGTTGGAGTATTTTCGCTTTAGGTGTGCGCACAACCTTTTTTTCCTCAGCACCGCATAAGGACATGCGGCATTGCGGCGCTGTGCCAAGGGAGTCGGAGCGTGGTATTAGGAGTGAGAGGGGGGTGAGGGGGCGCCTCACAGCAGAGACGTCGACAGCGATGGATGCCATGTCGATATTTGCTGCGCGCGGGAGAAGGAGGAGGAGGCTGGGCCGGGTCGTGTCGGCCCCAGTCGGCCCGGCGCCCGCCCGGGAGGTAGGCCGCCTATTCGACGTGTCGAGGCCGAGAGCGGCCTACCCGTCCGGGCGCAGGACGGCCGCTCCAGCAGCGATCAACGATGACAACGAGAAAAGCGCGCAAGGCTGTTGCGGCGGGCAGACAGATCAGTGGCATTCCCAACCGCGCGCCGGAAATAATGCTTCATAGAAAGCAAACGACTCGTTTCGCAGTCGGGCGAACTTTGGGCGAAACGGCAATAAATATCGATGAGCCAAACAGCCGGCGGCTGGGGAGATATACGACGGCAGGATCTAAGGCAGCAGGAGGGGTGGGAGGCGAGCAGCAGGGGCGGCTGAGTGGAGTGGAGCTCTCCCAAGGGCAGCGCCGGCCGCACGCCGACCAGTGAAAGAGCAGCGCCAGATCAGCAATTACTTCACAGACAGCGTGTCTCTCGGACCCCTAAACGCATTAGCATAGAGTTCTAATCCGCGGTGACACGCTGGCGTGTGCGGATGGTTCGGCCCGGAGGGGATCGCGGTCGGGAGCTGCCCCCGCACCCCTTTGAGCAGTGTTTGTCATCCGAGCCTCACACACCGCACCCAGGGAGAGGGGGGCTCCCCCCAGCCATGTGCGGCATCATACGGGGTGGTTGCCGAACGTCAGAGTTTCTCTGATGTGGGCCCCCGCGTTCTCCGTGTCGTGCAGAGAGGTCAGCAGCGGGACACGGACCGGACAGCAGGGCAGAGAGGGGACGAGGAAGGGGAGACAATGGGGCGCGGCAGCGGAGCGACACACGGCGCCGCCCCGTCGCACCGAAAGCACCCCCGCCAACTGTTGCCGAGTCAAGGGGTGTGATTGGTTTGGACCGAGAGAGAATAAGGGGCACCCGAGGGGCATCCCCGGGCCTACTGCCGGCGCACGACCCGCAGCCGTCCTTGCAAAAAAACAACCTGAACTCCAAATGACAGGTTGTCGCTTGAAATCACCCTTGTTTGTTTTTTTGTTGTTGTTTTTTTGTTGAAAATTCGTGACACTTACTTGGCGTACGCCTTCTCGAGGAGTCCGGCCCAGAACTGGTCCGAGTGCTGCGCCTGCAGGAACGCGAGGCGGCCGTTGACGGTGGGCAGGCGGTCGTCGACGAGCACCTCGACCCACTCGCCGCACCACCACAGGCGGAAGCGGAACAGGCCGGCGTACTGGTCCGGGGAGGACGGCGACAGCGTCTGATCCGCGGGCACGACGCGGTAGAACAGGCCTTTGCTCAGGTACAGCACGCCCAGGCACGAGACGAGCCACCGGTCACCTGCAACAGTACGTGGGAGACAGTTTTGTAGAAGGCGGTGTGTGTGTGCAGAAGGGTAATCGAGGCAAGTTGAATCATTCATTCAATCAATTAGTAATTCATTCATGACGGCTCGCAAGTATCGTTGGGCAGTTCGGTAAGCTCACGCTTCGGTAGTAAAACAGCAGAGTGGAGTGGAGGAGGCGGACTTAAGCGAGGCTGGTCCAGGCCATGGCCGCCCCCCACCGAGACCTGCCGCACTCGCGGTCCGGTATGTTTACGAGCCCCACCCGCGCGGTGTCATCACCGAGACAGTCGTCAAGGAGCAGCGCTCCGTCGTACGGAGGGGAAAGGCCCCGCGGGCTGCCACACATGTAGGCCCACCCTGCCAACTGCCAACGTCCTGCGCTCTCAACTCTGGCAATGATGGGCCGTGGACCGCCGTAGAGCGCCTGCGAACTTGAGGGTACGCCACCCCGCACGACTCGCGTGTTTAGCGGGGCGGCCTACCTAGCCGTTGGCAGGCGTTCCCTCGGCGTGCTCGCCGCCAGTTACCCACATACACCGAACAGCTTGACTGCAACTTACTGTATGCATCCTAGCCACGACATGTTCAAAATGTATTTGTAGCATTCGTACCCCTTGAATTCACAATTAATTTGGAGGGACGTCATACTTACTCTTGGGAATACAAGGAGGCTCTAGCCGAGAACAAACGCGCTAATTACGCACAAAGCATGTTTTCGTTTTCCTCGAATGAGGACAGCCTCATGTTGTTGTAGAGGACACTGACTGAGAGCAATATCCACCGCCCCCACATGGCGCCTGCGAACGCGAGGGTAGGCCGGCCCGCACGACGCGCGAGCCTTGCGGGGCGGCCTACCTCTGCAGGCGCCCGCACCGCTGCAATGGCACATTCCCCTTCCCCTCTTCCCCCGCCATCGTTTTCTTTTTTGGCGCGCCCTAAATTTTTCATAAAGCCTGGTTGCCTCCAGTTTTGCTATCAGCCCTACCATTCCGCCGACCAGCTGCCCTGGAGGTACGAGGTGAGGTGCGCGAGGGGCGCGGCGGCCTCGGCCTCGGCGCTGCCTGTGGTGCGCTAATCCCCGGGATAAAAGCACCAACGCCACCAAATTTGTCAGGGCCGGCCCGCGGAGCGGCGCGACCCTCGCGACCCTCGGCAGCTCTCCCGCGTCCCTCACAATACCGTTATTCATGGCCCGGCGGGAGATTAAGAATTGGACTCCTCTGACACGAGTGCCTTTATCTCACACAACGGCGCAAAAACAAACACCTGCCGCTCTCCCACCGACCGACCCACCCGCACACCCTTACATTTAAAAGGATAAACAAGCAGGCCCGCCCTTCCGCCAAACGAAGTTGCCAGCTTCGCTTCGCTGCGCCGGCAACTTCGTTCGGGAGGGGCCGAGCCTGCTTGGCCTGCCGGCGGCGATGGTCGGG